TTAACTCTACGGAGGCCCGAACTCTACGCAGACCGTTGACTCTACGCAGACCCGTTAACTCTACGCAGACCGTTAACTCTACGCAGACCGTTAACTCTACGCAGACCGGTAACTCTACGCCGGCCCCTTTCTCTACGCAAACCGCTAGCTGTACGCAGACCCTTAACTCTACGCAGGCCGCTAAGTACATGGAGACCCCTTACTCTACGCAGACCCCTTACTCTACGCAGAGCCATAACTCTACGGAGGCCCCGAACTCTACGCAGACCGCTAACTCTACGCAGACTGTTAGATCTACGCAGGTCCCGAACTCCACGCAAGCCCTTTACTCTACGCAAAGCGTGGTCACGGTGGACACAACGTGACCGGAGGACACAACGTGACCGGAGGACACAACGTGACCGGAGGACACAACGTGGTCCCTGTTCGGCGGCGACCAAATTTGCAGCTGAGAAGACTGTCGGTGAGGAGTTGATCACGGCGGCTTCCGATGGTGAGGCTACTACGAACGCTTATCCTGTGAGTAGGTGTTTTCCCAAGCATACGAAATTTTCCTCATTGAATAGGCCCCCGGTTTATTTGTGGACCCCGTGACGGGGTATGATCTGCAATGGTTCCGTGGGCCGTTTGAGAAGTGTGTGGATATGGACTTCAACCAGGAACCAAGGGACGTATGGTTGGGAGCTCCGGGGTTTAATCGGTGGCCGGAAGACAGTGCTATGATGTGTGAAATAATGGCACCATAATGTGCCGAAATCTAGGAGCCATGCCTGACACCCAGTGTTTTAGCTTCGTGTCCGGCGATCGCAAAAGCCGCCGTGGTCTCAACCCGTTGTGGGACATGGTGCAGCGAGTCTTCCCTTTGACCGGCAACGAAGAGTGTTTTGTTCGCTGTAAGGATGCTCGTGTGTTAGGAGCGAAATTGCTGCAGATCGCTGAAAAATCTCGCAACTCAGTGCGCCGATGGGTTCCCTCGCAGCAGGAGGCACTTTGGCGATGCGTGTACCCCCGAAGGGCTTCAACACTTCGTGCAAGCAGATATACCCCCCCCCCCGAGAAGATTGGGATCGCATCTGGTTCAAAGCGTCTTTCGGCACCGGCATTTGGGTGCCTGACAATCGCTCCTTTCGTTCCAGTGGGAAGAATAGTAACGGCTAGTTAACAAAGGCGTATCCAAAGACAACAGCTGTTAGTGGTGTCGGTGAATAAGTATCAAATGAACCACAAGGGCGAGTTGGACGAGCGGGCGGCTGAGTACCAGCGTGTCCTTGGCCACCGATCGGACGCTGATCGATCAGGCACCGATGATCTGCTCATATTGTGGAAGGTCATCGTGCGACATTACGACCATTCACGATAACCTTCCACAGTCTAAGGCGTCGCAGACGGAGGAGGTCGGCCGTGTAAGGAAGGGTGTGGAGGGAGGGAGCCTTCTTGGCGTTGGTGGCTTTTTTTGGGGTGTCAATGAAAACAAGTGTGTGCGGAGAATTGAGCGGCCTGAAGTTGAGTGGGCTCTTGTCTGTGTTGTACACTGACGGTGGTGAGCAGACGAGTCTTGAGGGCTGCGTAGCGAAGGTGGCGATGATTGACGGTCTTGGAAGCCGCTGGAGGTTCTGGTCGTGGCGGACCCGAAGGACCTCGAGAAGCCGCCCAAAGGCCTCGACGAGTGCCCGGGCGACGTTTCCGAGTTCATGTCTGAGCGCCAGCAGAAGGACAGCGAGCTGGATCAACGGGCGGCTGACTACCACAGAGCCGTAGACTCGTTGGCGACCAGCCTTTGGCACGGCTTGGTGGCGCCCGAGAATCCCCTCGACGCGTTGGACGAGCCAGTCGCCGACCGAATCTACGAGGACATTGTGCCGAGGACTGTGGCGCCGGCGCAGGCCGTAGAAGGCCCTTCGCGACCTTTTATAAAGGCATGGCGCTCGGTCACTAAAGAGGACTACGGCTTGCTCCAGAAGCAGCACTTCAAGCTCCAAGAAGTCAACTCAAAAATGCACGAGGCAGAGTACGACGACTTTATCGCTTTCAACAACATTGCGTTTCTCGCCACAATTTCCGGGAAGCCCAAGCGTTCCTGGCCTAGCGTGCTCTGCAAGAAAGCGCTGGAATACGCCGCCGTGGCGGTCGCACTTGGGCTCTTCGAACGTTGGTGTGCCTCAGACGGCTACTGGAACGACGTACGGAGCTCCCAGAACGGCACGACGCCAGCCAACGGCACCGGTGGCCCATTGGCCGAGGGCTTACATCAGGTCCGGACAGGCGAAGCACCAGGCCTTTTGCACAAAGTGTTTGTCGATTTGGTAAGCTGGCACAGGAAACAGGCAACGCGACGACGGCTGGTAACCTTACGCAGACCGCTAACTTTACACCGCAAACCGACCGCGGTCTGCCCGTCGGTGAGGTGGTGAAGTATGCTCTATTAAATAGGACTGGTTTGTTCGTGGACCGTGCGACGAAGATTGACCTGCAGGGGTACCGCGCGCCGAACGCCGTGTGCGTGGATATGTTTTATAACCCGGCGGAGACAGACATAGAAGTCCAAGAACTTATGTTGACGGACCACGAGCTTTGCGGCAAGGAGAATAATGGTACTCTGATGTGTCAAAACTTGATAGTACGCATGTGTTTTCAGTTCGTGTCCGGAGACGCGAAGGATCCACGCGGTCTATATTTCTTGTGGGACATGATTGATAGAATCTTTGGTCGTGAAAAAGGCGACAAGGACTGCGTTATTCGTTGCGATCATGCGGATACAATAAAGACTAAACTGCTCAATCGAAGCTTGTATTCAGCCAGAGGAGACCTAGATCCCGCGATGTTCCGGACAAGATTGGAATGGCCAGATTTGCAATGGAGGCTCTTAAGGGGGCGGTGAAGACTGTCCATGAAGACTTCTGTAAATCGAGTTCGGATGAGGAGGCAGTTGCGAAGAGTCTTTGACTTCCTGACTAAACTCGGTAGTGTTGTGCCGATGGACCGTATCGTGGACTTTGCTTCATTGAATAAGCCAGGTTTGTTTGTGGACTCGGACTCGGGAACTGATCTACAGTCGTATCGCGCGCCTTTCTCCAAGTGTGTGGACATGGACTTCAACCCCGATCCGCGCTACCTACCCCCATGAAAAGGCTCGACGGTGATGCCAATACAATCGAAGGACTCCAAAAGTTCGAGCAAGCATGCAAACCGCGCACCTGGGTTGGTTGCAAGGCATGACTTTGAAACGCTGCGTCTACCAAGGCATCACTCAAGTCTTTTCTGATTGACCACAGCATTCGTCGGTGTGGCCCGTCGACACCAGCAAGAACGGCAATCGGGACGGATTGAGCGATTAAAACTCCGACAGACCCCCGAGCAGCGGATTTCCCCGAGAGGTAAATCAAGTAAACTTTTTTCAATGAAAACGAACGCGTGCGGAGAAGCAAGTGGCTGTGGAAGCAACACTTGAGCCCACAAGAAGTCAACTCGAAAATGCATGAGCCAGAATACAACGACTTGATGGCTTTGAACAACATTGTGATCCTTGCCACAGTTGCCGAAAAGCCCAAGCCGTGCTCCCGATCTAGAGTGGTCTGTCAGAGAGTGCTGGAATACGCCGTCGTGGCCGCAGTAGTCGCAGCAATCGAATACGGTTTTACCGCACACAACAGCCGGGACGGCGTAAAAAGCTATTTGGCCGTCAACGGCTCCGCCCCTAGCAACGGCACTGTCCCCGTGCCCCCAGGGCCTACACCAAGTGTTGACGA